AACTCTAAAGTTGGTTTGAGAGGGAGTTGTCCAGTACCTCCACTCCAGTGGATTTAGCAAACCAAGTTTTACCAGTATACCATTGATTCTGCTTGCTGAAGTAAAAGCACAGTGTTATTTGTAAAATATGGCCATGCTTATAATTTGTAATTTTTCATAATTAAATGACCATAATATTCCAGAACTTCTCTCTGGTAATATTAATAGATGATTAAAGATGGGTTGCAACCTTGAACTTCAAGCTTTGGCTTCAATGTTTGGAAATTTGTATAATGTGATGAATATAAAAGGAAGGGTTGCCAGCAGCCTGACTGGCTTTTGCAAACCCAAAGTATTTTTAGTTAAACCCTGAATTCTGGTAACTGTGTAACTCATGAAATGCTCTTATTTATTAGGAGAGAAAATTGACATTCTCAGCCAAAAATAGATGAAAGTCAGAAAAAAGGTGAAAGTGGATGGCAGATAAGTTCAGCAGCAGTTCTTTATAAAGACTTTTACCTCTTCCATCAGAAGGGAGAGCACTGTGATATTTCTGCCATACCACACCCTTGAACATATATTATGCTGTGTAGCCACCCCAGGCAGGTGGGTGATCAAGAAATGCGGTGGTTCAAGGAAATGGCCTCTCTTACTTGGACTCAAAATCTGTGAGGATGCACAACTACTGTCATGTCTTCACCCTGTCTTCAAAGCCTCCTCCCTGTAGGTGAGGGCAGCAATAGATATCCTATTCTCTCTGTTCTTCACACTCTCTGCTTCCCTCAAGGAAATATTGGAGTTCAGCCCTATGACTTTCTGAAGCCATAGCTGCAGCATAAAAAATAAATTGCAAAACTTCCCACATGTTTCTGAAGAAGCACTGTGAAACGTGTCTTTGCCAGTTGTTTCATTCTAATACTCATCAATATCCTGAGCTAAAGGAGACACTCTGGAACTGCCCATAGACTGAGGACAGGAATGCTGTAGCTGTTAACTCCCTGAACTCGTAACTAAGTGGTGTCATTGAAGCTCTGTGGATGGAAATATTGGTATATGAATTTTACAGAAGCTGATAGCTTAGACCACTGCTCACTAGGGAAGCATGTTCAAGTGTATTTTTCAAGTGTTGATACATTAGACTGCTTAATTTTATGGTCCTGTGACTGAATGTAATTAATACTTCTAAATTAATTTAAAGCAACCTACTTAGCATTCTGTATTAGTAGGAATTAATGTTAGTACCTATTTTGTTTTTTGTGCTGTTACTTTGCAAAGATTTCTTTTTGCTGCTGTTTGTAAACAAAATGGAAGCCTTTTATTTAAAATGGAAAAAAAAGCTTGTGTTTTTCAAAACTAAAGTAAGTCTAATGAGAGTATTTAAACTATATTTCAGCACTGAAGAACTAATTTTTATTTTCCTTGCTTGTAATATGCTGCAGCATAGTTAATGTCAGACACATTTTTTTCAAGACATTGAACTGTGTTGGTTGTCTTTTACTATGGTGGTACCTGCAGCCTCAGTTTTTGGGCATGTCTTAGACCACTTGTTCTCATCATACCTTTTGAGCTCTTCAAGGTGCAGTGGTATTTGTCAGTCTTTGAATCAAAGGTGTTTCTAAACAAATTTTAACTTTATATATCAGGAGCAATTGTACGCTATCAAAGCTGGGCTTTCACTGATTTTGGGGCTCATCTGTTTTGATTCTGGCTATCCTTTATTTCTGCAAGCTTTGCAGCACCACATACATATTCCTACATGATCTTTCAGCCTGCTGCTTGCAGCAAAAACTGGTAGAGGGAAGACTGAATTTAATAATGATGAATGAAAATGCAGCGGGCTGTTCCTCTTTGTTCTTAGTTGGAAGATTTGTGAACCTGAATCAGCTCTTCTCTACTCCTCCTCCTTCTTGCCAGTGCTGCACCCTTGGCTGGATCAAAGTAGAGAACCCTGGAATTTGCTCCCCTGGGCTAGGGAGGGATGGCTCCTGAGTGATGAAAGGCCCAGGTCCATGCACACCCTCTGTCTCCTGCCATTTGTCTGAAACACACAGGCAGGCACAGGACTTGTACAGGGAACTGATCAGAACAGAAAATAAATTGAAGTGAAATTCAGAAGGACTTTTGTTTTCCTACCCTGTAAAGAGGTATGGAATTATTTCCTTTTTTTCTTGTGCAGACTTTTAGCTCCTATTCTTGGTTTCTAACTGAGCAGGATGACCCAGCAGGGCTGACAGTGGCCTCCTGTGGGAAGGTGGGAGAGTTGGTGAAGCTGTGTGCAGTGATTAGTGTGGAAGGACAGAGAGGTTAGGAGGGTGCATTTGTGTGTGTGTCCATGTATTTATTTCTGATAACATGAGTTATCATGGAAAAGGTACAATAAATTCTGGGGGGTTTTGGTTTAATTACCGTGTTTTTCTGGTTTTGGGACAATTTCACTTTGAAGTGTCCAGCTGATGTTACATATGGGTGGTCTCTCCTAACTTTTAGCTGCTGTCTTTTGCCACACGACTGTTGGTGTGTTCTATTAATCTTGCAGTCATTGCCCTTCTGGTGGAATGCTGTTTGATTTGTATCCTGCAGGATTTTGGAAAGAACAGCAGAAGGAAAGACAAAATGCAAAGTTAGAAGAACAAGATGAAAGAAGAGTCTTGGATCAAATGCTGCAATAGCAAGCAGCATTTTCTTTTTATGTCATCCTAAGTCAAACACAAGGTAGAAATACCTGGGATAGTTCTTGTCTAATAAACTAAACTGTGAAACCACTGCAGATCTATTCATCTGCTGCAAAGAATCTTCTCTGCTGGTTATTGTTACTATACTGGGGAAAGGAAGGAAAAAGAAAAGAGAAAATGCTTCATTTTTTTTCACTGCTGTCATCACTCATCCTAATGAGGACAAAAAAGGTTACCTCTACTAGGAGCATGATGCTTTCATGTACTCTGAAACCCACCTGTTCACTTCTTAATGAGGATGTGAGGTTTGGAGATACTGTGATCGTGTTAGGTTATTTCTGAAATACATTACACAAGAAAGAACTGTCAGCTGCCTATTTGGTAACCAAGACTTTTAAAATTCAGGCATCTTGTGAAATGCTCTTGAAATAAATTTTGAAATCCTTTATTCTTACTGGTTTAGACCTTGTCAAGTGTCAGACATCAGCAGTATTTGAGTCTTGGAGGTTTACAAGTTGCATTTTATGCAAACAATTTTCAGCATCTGCACATATAATATGCAGTATATATGTATGTATATGTAAATAAATATTCAGATCAGCATCGTGGTTTGAATTTAGAGAAGATGTGACATCTATGAGCTTACAGAGATTATTAGCAGGATGAAACAGTTTTTCATAAGACATTTTGACATATCTGACCCATAAATATCACCTGGTGTTCTGCTTCTGAGTTTGTGTGTACCCTGGAGTTGAAGTGTCATCACCATCCTGTGCATTACAGGTGGGGTGTAAAGAGGAGTCTGGAATTATTAAGAGGGGCAGGATATAGTTTTATTTTGAGATTGTGGGTGAATTTAAAAAGGCTTTTTTTTTTTTTTTTTCCTCTCCTTGGAAGTTAGGGCATACAGCACACCATATTTCAAACAAAACAAGACATACAGCTTGTTTTTATCTTGCACCTGTGTGTTACTCCACTTGCCGCTAAGTGTAGAAAACATAAGAAGTCAATCTGTAAACTTCAGTGGTTAAAACCACCTTGAATCTGATAGGAACAACATGTTACAACCTCATTTGTGGTCACTGGAACCCAACAACTGCAAGAAAATATTAGCTTTGGAGCTTTGTCAGTGGTCATAAAGTTCACCAGCTTTCTCTAGTCCTGACTGAACATCTTTAAGCACATGATACTTTGCTCCACTCTCTCTGTTTTGTCAATGTGGCTTTTGCTCCTGTTAAAGCTGCACACAGAAGAAGTAGATCCTCTACAGACAGCTGCCAGATCATTTCAGCACTTCAGAGGAAAATCCAACACATGGACTTCCTCAAGCACTTTTACATAGAGCAAATTTGAGTTGGGACCAATTAGTATCTTTGTGTCTGCAGGTCATTTAGATTAGGCAGTTCACAGTTGCTTCTAGTGTTTATAGTTTTGTTTCATTTAATTAGTCTGCTTTCTAACTTGACCTTGTGACTTCCAGTGAAACACAAGGTTTTTTCAGCTTACTTGATAACAGATAGATCTGGCTGTTCACACAGCATGTGGGGGTTTGTTTGCTTCTTGGTTACTTACATAGTGTATGATAGGAAATCAGCTTGCCTGAGAGACACAGGTTTACAGTAGCAATCAATTGCTTCCTCTAACACAACACAGTTAAACTTGATGGAAGAATTGCTTAAGTTGATTTGTGCTGTCCGTTGTCAAAAATTCATTATGATCATTGGCCTGCTAATAAAAGTATCTCATAGAGCAAAGCAATTTTGAGTTAGAGGAGCAGATGTAGGCTCATTAGTGTCAAGGAGTTCACCATCAGAAGTTCAAGCTGAGTAATGATTAGTCAATGGCAAGTATGACTTAAAATCTTAACATTCTTTTAACCCTTGCACATACACATCTTTTAAGGGCCAGATTGATTTGCTAATTTATAATACAGTCAGTGTTTATCAGACTGCTTGAAAAACTGCTCAAAAGGTGGCAGGTGGGGTTAGTGGAAACTCGAAGAGACCAAGGTAATGCTCAGTGTTGAGAGGGGAAAGTGGGGGCACATCATCTTGCCCCCTCCTCCCTGTTTTATCAAGGACTGGGAGGGACATTCATGCTCTTTGTCCCTTGAATTTTAATAAGGTCCCTAAGCAGTGCCATGGGTTTCACCCTAGCTCTGAAAGTAATCTGTCCATGTCCTTTTTGATTCTTTTGTGTTTCATTTGAAGGGAGTGGAAGGAATTGTGCTGACATGGCAAGATTTGGCTATTACAGTGTGGCAAATCTGCCCTTGCTATGGCTCCTAGTATTTAGCAGATTTTTAGGCTGATTCGAGATTCTTCATCTGATGTTTCTGGTACAGGAGTTCTGTTGCCTCTTGAGTCTTTTAGCAGCTCTCCAGCATTTAAGAAGCAGCACGCCCTCAGGTGCTGGGGCTCCCACCACCTTCCTGTTCTGTGATGCAACACATCTGCTGGGACCTTGGAAAAACAGGGAAATGATTACAATACTGCCATAGTCTGCTCCAGAGAGTGAGGTATGCTATTGGTTTATGTGGGGGGAGTTAAAAGGCCATGGCATAATGCCCATAATTTTTTAGTCATTTAATTTTGTTCAAACCTGGACATCATCTTGAATGAAGAAAAATGTGAAGATTTCAAGTATTATTCAGCATATTCCCACAGGTCATAATAGAAAGATTAGTGTTACATAAAGATTTTCATAATAAAAATTAATATTCTGATGAAAAATAGATTGTGTTAATGATGTGAGACTACTGGAAGAGAGTCATACACAATCATATGTTAGAGAAGTGTCACATTTTATCCTTCAATTTACTTTTCTTCCTACTGTGTATTTTTTGTTCACTTTCACATAAGTATTTCCTGTATCTGGTAGATAAACTCAAATGAAATGTTTGATAGGTATACATTGGACAGAAATTCTTCTACTTCTGAAACATCAGCATAGCTGCATCTTCTCATCTGCCTTTTAACTGTGATTTAGCAGAGAGGTGAAGCACAATTGTTTCCATTAATCAGCACTGAATCAACTCTGTTAGCTTTATACTAAGATTTAAGTGGAGAAACCTTTATTTTGAAGCTTGCCAAACTCCACCCCTGAATTTTCTTTTTCTTGTAGGAGCTGATAACATCACATAACACCTCAGGACAATTGGAACACTATTTCTAGTTGTGATTTAAGTGATAGTGATAATCTTTCTTCCTGCTAGACAGACAGAATGCTCTAAGCTGAGGTCTGAACATAGAAGTAAAAAGAATATTTCAAATACATTGTTTGGAAATATGTGTCTATTGTTTAAAATTCTTCTTCTCTAAGGATTTAATACAGCTTTCCTACAATACAGAATTTAATACAGAATTTCTGTGAATAGTTTTGGGTTATCCAGGCTATGGAGACAGAGACACAGCAGTGAGAGGTTTATTTGGTGCTGGTTGAAAATGGAAATTATCACAATTCCCATTATTAGAAAACTGCAAAATTAATCTGTTAATATATAGAAAAATACATTTGAAAAAAAATGTTCTGCAAAATAGATAAATATTCAGGATAGTTCTAGATGGAACTTAAGGTCACATTTTGGAGAAAAACATTATCCTTTAGCTCAAAGATCTGATAAATAACTTTATGGTTTCCTCCCTTTCACTTAACTGTATGTCTGTATTTATCAATGTAAGTGAAAATACCTTATTTTTTAATTAACTTTCTTGCAGAAGATATGCTTTAGCCATACTTATGTTCCCATGTGGTCACCTGGGGTCGTTTTTGTGCTTGTTATGCCACTTCTATCACAACCACCTACATTGATTTATGATAAACAAAGATACTATTAGATGATGGTTTTGAACAAAGTGTCTGTTCTTCAGTCTATCACTGTGTTGTAACTTAATTTTGCCTTTCAAAAAGCCCATTTGTTGGCCCAGAATAAAACTGTCATGAGCGCAGACACTGAAAAGCATCTCTTTTCCACCTAGGTAGTGAGAGCACCACTCATCCCAGCCCACTGGTCTCAGCTCTAACGGTGTAACAGGATGGGAGTTCTACAGGACAAGAAGAACACAATTTTTATTTTTTTCCTGCTTTGACTTTTAGGTAGGCAGTGTGAGAAATGTTAAGGAAGAGACATCATGGGTCACTGGAGAAATTCCTGTAACAGGATTTTGTGACGTGAGGAAGTATATACCCATCATCTGCCATGCATAACAAAAATGGGAAGATAAAATTAACTAGTAAGACATTGCTTTATTCTCTCCTCTATTTTTAATAATTTTTAAATTGTCATCCCAGGCTCTTCTGGCTTACACATCATAAATTGTTAAATAAAATGAAGAATAGCGTTAATGTACATTATTATTAAAATGTGAAGTAATATTTGGCTCAATAAATGAACTATTATCTGTTAGAGTATCTGTCAAAGATAGGGACAAATGTGTTTTGCCTACTGGTCTGTGTATGGTGTTATAAAGAGAATTTCAAATTTGTATATGCCCAAATTTTTAATTCTCTGTTTACATGTCTGAATTAGTAAGTAAAAAGTGTGAGTACATTAGTATTTTAAAGATATTTTTATAGAATAAGCTTTCAGCATTCAATCAGGGTAGAATTCTGTATTCAGTTTAACAATTCTGTAACTATTTTCCTTTATTAAAGCAGGGAGATCTGTGTAAATCACAGCTAGATACTCAATTTACCCCTGAAATCCATATGCTCTGGGCTTACCTGCTGAAGCTGCAGTGCTGTCCGTGGTGTGTGCCTTGCCTGAGCCATTTTATTTCTCCCTCATCCCTGCTGTGCCCAGCTCGGGGCTGCTGGGCAGGAGGGAAGGCGAGCCCTTGGCAAGGGCACTCGGACAGGAGAGAATCCTGCACGGGTTCTGGGTTCTGGTGGAGGCCCATCTTTAAGGATCCTGCCCTTTGGAGAACCAGACTGCTCAGTGACTACAAAGGCTGCAGAGTGAACTTGCTCTGGGGAGCTGGAGGGTTTCCTATGGAAAGGACTTTTTGTTTGGTGCTTGACTGGCAGACTTGGTGGTTAAGTTAGGAATACACCTCTGGTCATCTAAAATCTGTCTCTTGGGAGTATTAATAAATGCTCAAAAAAAAACTGTGCCGTGGAAGTGCGAGCTCAGGTGTAACAGTGCCACAGATGTGACAGTCAGTGGCACTTGACTTTCTTAGGCTTGAGGGGATGGGGCTGTGCCACCTTCCCTGAGCCAGCTGCTCTGGGCTGCAGCATCCTGAGCTGGGGTCACCTTGCCTGTGCTGCTGTGGTAGGAGCTCCTGGGGCTGGGGAGGCAGTGCTTTGGCACTATGGAGCTCCCTGAGGATTACTTTCTGTTATTTCTTTGAGGAGGGTGCTGTGGTGGTGTCTCCAAAGCAAACAATACTGGATTTGAATAACTTCAAGTTGGTACCAGCAAACTGCGAGCAAATGCTGATGAAGTCATTTTCTGCATTCCTGGTCCCAGAAAAATCTCCATTGCAAATCTCTGCCTGTCCACCATGAAGAAAGGACAGAACTGAGAGAAGTTGGAACAGGAAGTCATTTACTGGCTGTATCTTACTGCAACAGTGGACTTGTTTAGGATCATACAAAAAGCTTTATTTTTCTCAGTTCCTTCCTTCTTTCAGCAGTCTCGGTAATACTTCCCTGAAAAATTTTATGCTTGTCAATTGTACTGTGCTGCTCTTTCATTAACAGAGAAATGAATATTATTCTTGTTACAAAAAGAGCTGAAGTCTTATATGGGTCACAAATCCTGTTGCAGTTTCTGGAAATCAGACCTACTTGTCAGATCAAAGCATTTAAATTCCAGCAAGGTACTCCTCCTTAACTCTGACTTTGTTTTTGCCAAGGCTGCATATATAGCATAGAGTCATATGAGACAATTTAGGTATTCTCTCACTAAATATTGGTAGTGATCCATGTTAGCTGATATTTACATATTTGTATTTAAATGTTGGTGATGATGTCTTGTTCTGTTAACCTTTCTGATAACTAAAATGATAGGTTTGTATTTTAATGTTGTTTTTACTTTACACCTTACTCAGTTTTTGATATTTATTTTAAACAAATCCTTTCTTTGCTTCAGCAGCACTGCAACACTATATACAAAGTTATATTAAAAAAACCCCTAAATATATGTATTTATATATATAAACTTGTTAGGTTAGCACAGTGCAGTAAGACCCATGGAAGTTAATTCTCACCCCTGAAACAGAAGGTGCCTCTAGGGCTATTTTAAAAACACAGGTTTATTTGCACTCTTCTTTCCTCCACTGAGAGGTCTTCCTGAATTAGTTTGGATAGTGCTTTCTGAGGAAAGAATTGGATTTTTAATATTATTTCTGTGGACAATAATTTCTTCATAATTAAAGTATTTTATTATTTGATTCCAAATGTCGTTTTCCTCTTGAGATTAAAAGGGATGGGGAGATCTCCAAATGAAGGAAAAAACCCGTAATTTGAAGTTAATATTCAATTCCATTCACACTGTTATGAATTTTTTTCTTTTTCCTTTTGTGCAAAAAAAATTAAAATACTTAATTACAGTTAAAGTCAAGATTAACTTCTTCCCACATGATTCAGACACTGGTCCCACTATCCTGACTCCTCATTAAGGTGTTTTTCTTAGATCTACTCACAGACAGAGCAGTGGTATCAGTTCTTGGGCTCTGGCTAGATGATCAGATAGTTGTGATTGCCAAGAAAGTCTGATTTTCAATTTACTAAAAAAAAAATAAATTCTTTATTGCTTGGTCATTTTTCCATTGCAGGCAACAACTACTGGAGGGTGTTTTTCCAAGGCTTGCATTTGAGGTGATCTAGAATTCGATGTTGGAATAGCTCTAAGCTACCACTGAGGCTCTTGCCTAGGTCATTGCTTCATCTTTGTGTGTTTCTGCAGCCCTGGAGCTTAATCTTTATAGAACTTCCAGCTGGTGGCAGCTGAATACCTTCACCTCTCCTACTTCTCCCCATGTTTTACTTCATTAAAAGTCCTTTGATCAAGAGAGCCCAAAGTTTAGAGTGTGTTGCAAAGCTCTTTTTTTCCCCCTTATGGAGGGAGCTGTCTGGCCCTTGGGGAGGAGAGTCACATTTTGCAGACAGGGAGTAAAATGTTTTCTATCTCTCAGGTGACCCTGGGATATTGTCTTTTATGCATAATATAATACTCTGTTCACACAAATATTTTGAAGTTAGCTCAAAAAGAAAGGTTAAAAAGTAAATAGATTATTTATGATTAGTAATTCTGCCCTGTATGTAAATAGTAGAAGAATATTGACATCTCTTAGTGAGGTAGCAAAGAAAAAAAATTATAAATGAGCATAACAGGATTAATAGTGATGCTTATCTGGAAGTTGTGGTAACATGAACAGACTTTTTTAAGAATGAAGCTTTTTTTCCTGAGGAGCTAAGATGGATAACCAGATTTCTTTGGGATTTAAATTACGTATCTCACTATTTCTGTAAACACAGTGTGCCCAGTTCTGTTATGATAGTTTATCATACACTTCTGTTATGCTGAATATTTTTCTCTGAGCTTCAGCCTTGGAACATGGGTTGTGCTGTTTAATTTTCATTATAAATGATTATGTAGAGCTGCTGATATTCACTAATGAAAAATCAAGTTCTTGCATACATGTCTTTTATATATTCCTGTTAAATAAATACCTATACTTTCCTGTCAAATTAATACCTATACATTAATGTGCTCATTAATGACATCAAAAATAAATTTTATATTTGGATATTTTACATTCCTAGAGTTTTGCTTTGTGTTGTTCTCTACATTAACCTTGTTAAAAGCACTGAACTTGCGCGTAAAAATTCTATTATCACACTGAAATTCTGTTATTAAGTATTACATGTCTGCCTCAGAGAACTTGAACTACTACCTGTAGGTAGCTTTTGAGGCTGAATTTGCTGAGTACCTATGTCTACAGCAGAGAACCAATGCACAGCCCTCAGCCATGTAATTTTAGAATTTGGTGTCTTAATAAGATCAAATGAGTAATTACACACAGCTCAGTCTGCTGCCTTCACTCATGTTGAGTTGCAGTCTACACTAGGATTGATTATAGGGGAGGGAAGAGAAATGCAGCACTAAGAGAGTTGGCATGTTTTGGGGTCTTTGTTTCAAAAATCAACAGCACTGGGTAATGAAAACTTGTTTGTAACTATTAGAATCAATCAAATAATCAAATATGGATAGCTCCATGGTATTTTTTCTTTTAATACTTAATAATGTTTTCACATAAAATTCTATATGCTGTTCTTTTGCTGAGCTGGAGATATGTTACAGTTCTCTGTGGAGGTGGAAAACAGCAGCTTTGGCTGTGTCACAGAGCAGTTGGATTTGTAGACTGGGGGTGTCAATAGCCAGGTAATGTTTTCATGTGTGGTCAGAGATACAGAGCAGGGCTAAATGGCTGGGGTGGCTGGGTTTGTGTCCTTGTTTTCAGGTGGAATGTCACCTGAGATGTGTTGCTGAGGTTTTGGCAGATGCACAACCCTTTGGACAGTGGGTACCTACAGCCAAGTTGTTTGATCCATGGCAGCTGTCTGAACATCTCCCTGCCTTCTATCAGTTCTGGACTTTGGCAGAGGTTCAGGTGTTCACTTTGGTGTTCTCTTCACCAGGATTGTCACATCAGCACAGAATGAAATACAGTGGTAGGAAATGTGTGAATGGCACTGAAAAGCAGTATTTGAATGTTTTTCAGCATCTGAAAGTCAGAGAAATGAGGAACATTCAGACTCTTACAGAAATTGTTGCTGAGTTAACCACTATCTCTAAAGATAACTAAGGATGTTAAAATCCTATTGTTGCCTATAGGCAGAATCCAAAAAGTTTGATCAGAAGCAGAAAAGAACCCCGGTTTTCTACAGTGGATTTAAATTTGAAATGCATTTTTCTGTGTGTTAATATCCTAAGAATTTTAAAATAAAAAGATCATTAAGTATGCTAATGCATCAGCACTTGCACCATGAACTCTACATACTGTGTCTATTTCAGTTCTGTAGAGGACATGGCATGTTCATGGGGTAAGGACATGGTTAATGTCAAGGACATGGTAACATCAGATATTCGACCCATAATTAATTCCAAGACTCTCCATATCTGTTTCTGTAGAGAAATCTGCTCTGGAGACAGACTTGGAATAACTGCAGGTTGAACATCGGTGCTGGGAAGGATACTGTGAATCTTTTAAAAGACTCATTTACAAAGGAATAAGCAATAGGGATGTAATTCTCAGTATGTGCAGCTTTACAGGAAATGAATCATGAGGAAGCTTAATTTCAGTATTTAAAGAAGTTCAAAGGTTTGGCTGACAAAGGTGAAGGTGTAGCTATAACAGCCCTTTTAGAAAGACAGTTCTTTGCATTGCATGACATTCCAGTTTGAAAAATAGCACTGCCCTGTATCAGTGAAGCACAAGTTAAAAGGATTAAGAACTGGCCAACTGACAAACCTAAAAAATTAGTCATAATAATAGAGTGCAGCTCCATAGGGATCAGCACTGTGCCTGACACCATTTAACAGTTTCAGCATTGATCTGGAGTACATGGAACTGTGGTAAAATTTGCAAATGACTCAAAGATTACCAAAGCGGTAAATAATGAGGGCAGGGAGTAATACAGAATTATCTGTGCTGATCCTGCCTGTATGCAGCCATAATTCTGATTCAGTCAGATGCTAAGCTTTACAGCTAGGAAGAAAAAGGCATTTTAAGTGATGCTAATAAGAAATGAACTTATGAGAAACTTCAGAACTCAGGAATGACAAATCAGCAGAAGTTTTATCCACCTGCAAGAAAGGGCCCAAACCATCCTTGCCTGGGTGGACAGAGAAATGGAGTGTGCTGGACTGACCTGTAAGCATTAGGATCAAGTACCAAAGGAAATGGTTCATCCATCTCTCTGAATGTTTACATTTAGAGTAGGGTTTTTGCCATTGCTTAACATGGATTCTTGGCTTCAAACCAGGAGTCATCAAATGCAACGCCACGGCATGTTGATGTGCAGGAGGTCAGGCTATGAACTAGAATTTCCCCTTGACCTTGAACTGGAGCTAGAAAAAGTGCTATGTTCACTCACAAAATTGACAGACTTCTCTTGAGAAGCTGTTGTATCTAATGGGAGATTACTTGTCCCTTTAATTTAAGGTTGAAGCTTTATTTTTAGGCTCCACTAAAATGTGCCTACATACTAAATATAGACAAATAAAATTGTCATTTTTTTTTCTGGCACAATAACATGCTGGTCTAGAATGCTGGGCTTTTTTGTTGTTGTTGTTGTTTGTTTTTCCTTTTAGGTTTGAGGCAAAATGTGTATACAAATTAAAGTCTTCCCAGAATGAGATATGTTTTTCATATATTTTTGTGACTTGCGATAAGAAGACATTTTGGCCTAAGAATGAAACTTATTTTTGGCACAGAGAGTAAACTTCTTTCAAGACATGGAAAGTAGGAATATTTATTTCAAAATGTTTTAAGAGCAGATTTAGAGTTGAAACCTGAACACCTGTTGTCAGGCTTATACTAATCACCTGTGAACTTTTAAGTAGGGTGACAGAGTGCTGTGTTGTGGTGCTCACGTTCTTAAGGGTCTTCACAGGGACTGAAATTCTGTTGTGGCAGTACTGAAAATGTGGAGGTTCTTGCCACTCTTTTCCAGCACATTTTGTGGTGGCACGCTGCACAGTCCCTGCTGTCTCAGTGTTTTATCGTTACCTTCCGCTTTCTGTGCCTCAGCCCCTTTCATGGAGCCTTCCCAGCAGTGGGGACAGGACAAATCCCTCCCAGGTGGGGCTCAGCCTCAGCAGCACTCACTGTCTGTAAAAGAGAACTGCCTGCTGAGGAGTGCAGAGCACAATCTGTGTGCTTTCCCTCTTCTCACAGCAGCTTTCCTCGGTGTCCTTCAGGCTGATGGTCCCTCGTGCTGCTCAGAACTGGGGGGCATTCGTGTGCCAGAAATAAGAAACTGCCAGCTTCGCTTGCTAAGAGGTTACATTTTCTCCAATAGTCAGTGAAATGATTCAGGCTTGGATGTAGGTTAAGGAAATATTCTTTAGAAGTTTTACAGGGAGTATAAGTGCCTATGGCTTGTCTGCCTTTAAACTCCTAACACTTGTGTTACCATTCCATCCACTATAAAGAGTTTTCTATAAAGTATTTTTAGATATAAAGATGAACTGATCTCATCTCTGACTTGAAATTTTTTTGTAGTCATTGAATAAAGCAAATTTATTTTATCAAGGCTGTTTTATTCACCTTTCTGCATGTTTTGTTTTGTTGTGATCTTTTTTGAAGTGTGGCCTGGATTTTTTGTTTCCCAGTCATGACAAAATTTTAATTTGCTTTTTAAGTTAAATTGCAATGTTCTTTCAAATCACCTTCCAAAAGAAGGTTTAGTCAGAAAGCAGCTATCCAGAGAGCACCTGCGTGTGGCAGTGGTGTTTGTAGCAGGAGGGAAAGTCAGGATGGGAGAGATGCTTTCTGTTTTTCTTGTGAATTAATTTTAATCTTTGGTATATTTCCATTAAATGTGATGATTTGAGCTGCTGTAGCAAAAAAAAAAAAAAAAAAAAAAAAAGGTGTTCATGTATTGCAAGACAGCAATGAAGGTGTCCTACTGCTGAAAACTACAGGTGGAATATTACAAGGTCATTACCTTGATAGCCTTTAAATGAAGCACACGGTAATAAGATGTGCTTTGTTTTCTATAGACCACACAAAAAAACTATTGGAATCCATAGGAGTGACAGGGAAAACGCATGATGAGATTAGTATTATGTTCAGAAGAACAGTAAAAGAACTACATTCCCTCAGGAAAATTGGAGTTGCATAGTGTGAGATTGTAATACAGCCATGAAAGAGCAGAGCCAAGTAGGAATTTTCTGCTCGCATTGAATAAGGCTCTACAGATCTTTTATCTTGATTCAGGCTCAGACATATGGTTATTATGCTGACTCACTTGGTAGTCGTATGATGTGAGGCCTGTTAACATGAACCCAGACTTGTGAAAACACTCGAGCTCTTCTTTAAGGTAAGGGGGGACTTGGGACAAAGAATTTGATAACAACAAAGCACCAACGGTAGAAAGAAGGCGTAGGATTGGGTGGCAAAGGTCAGAAGAATATTCTTGGTTCTCTTCTATGAGTTAGGGCAAAAAGAAAAATCTTGGAAATAGGACACTGGGAAGTATGTCTTTGAGAAGAGGTTTTTTATGGTATTCCAGTAAAGAGCATGAAGTAAATCTTGCTTGGAGTGCGTGTGTCAACCATAGCAGCATTGAGGTGCTTGGACTGTAGTCTGAAAAATTTGTAAAATTCACACCCAAAGTAGGGTTTTGAAGGCCAAGTACACCTGAACAGCTGAAAATAAAGCACACAGCATGAGTATGAGGAAAGAGGAAGTTCTTTATTTCACACGTGGTGACCCCAGATGAAGAAGGCAAATGAGCTCACAGAGAAGAGCTGTGCTGCTGCAGCACGAGCTCCAGCTTGCCGTTCTGAACAGTGAATCTTGTCAAAACCCAAAACCTCATCATTTTAATGCAAGTCAATGCTTTTGTCAAGGGGAAAAGGAGAATATTCAGATTTTTGGAAATTTTTTTTAAGACTATGACAG